AGCATATTTGGGAAATCCCTCAAGGTTTCGAGGATAATCGCAACAATAGAATGCACCGTGCAAGGCGTATTTAACAAGGTGGTGTTGGCCGTATATAAGTAAAAAATTACACTAACAAATTATACGCTGATGTCCATACTGTCATTGGTATGAGTTACAACAATCACATCATTTTGACGTAATGGCCTCCACGGCGAAAAACTCAGCTGACGCCCCAACACCACCTTGTTTAATACACCTTGGCACCGTGGGTGGTGTTGATGGCGAACATGGTGGATGGCGAATTTAGATTTTCGCCGCGGTACTTCCTAATGTGCATTAGTCTGTTCCTTTGAACTTCGGACTAAAACCTGTGAAACTGTCAAACTACAATTTTACTCTCTCAAGTGAGAGTAAAAGGAGAACAGATGCAGAAGTGCACCGGAACGCAAAAAGCACTATTTCCTGTAAAAACCTCAGTCGGTTTGTTTACATGTCATTTGTACAGCACTTATTTGGCTGAAATATCACTAACTAATTATTAGAATCCATACATATTCAAATATTTCGTTGTTTACTTCCATTTTTAAACAAATATAAGGTTCTTTGCTTTCACCGCTTTCTGTTTTTGTTTGCACATGCAAATCAGCTGATCGTTTGACACTTTTCATGAACTTACAGGAAAAAAAAAACTCCGGACTAAATCCTGTAACTTCTGACTAGGAGCAGTTGCTCAGTTACTCTCTCAAAAGTCTTCCAACTTACAGGTTTTATGTCAATAGGAACGACTTCCTGTAAGTTCTGACTAAATCCTGTAAACCGGACTGCTATTGGAACAGACTAACTATATCCTGTAAAAACGTCAGTCGGTTTGTTTACATGTCATTTGTACAACACTGATTTGGCTGAAATATCACTAACTAATTATTAAAATCTATACATATTCATATATTTCGTTGTTTACTTCCTTTTTTTTTTAAATATAAGGTTCTTTGCTTTCACCGCTATCTGTTTTTGTTTGCACATGCAAATCAGCTGATCGTTTGACACTTTTCATGAACTTACAGGAAAAAAAATCTGCGGACTAAATCCTGTAACTTCTGACTAGGAACAGTTGCTCAGTTACTCTCTCAAAAATGTTCCAACTTACAGGTTTTATATCAATAGGAACGACTTCCTGTAAGTTCTGACTAAATCCTGTAAACCGGACTGCTCTTGGAACTACATATGTATTTTGTATGGAGAGTGTTAGCCAAAAACAAAATACATGTAGGGCGATGAGATCAGCTGATTTTACAAGACCACCTTGTATAAATTCGCCTTGCCTAGGGGTGTGCTGTCAAATCTGTAATAAATTCGCCTTGCTGTCATCTGTCAACAAAGAACGTAGATTTACGCTCTCTGATAGCAATCGCACATATCGCTTCAGACGGACATTGTTTTTGCTAGTTCGTTGTCACTTCCTCGTAAAAAAGTGAAAAGTGAAAAGGTTTTAATGATTTTAATGAAAATTCCGTAAAATTAGTTATACATTAGCAAAAAACCAGTATATTTTTTGAGTGCTTATGCGAATTATAAAAGAAAAATTGTGATTGATACTGAACGACGAAAAAATAAAAGAAGCGAAACGAGGAATATGAAAATGAGAAATTGATTTTCCGACACAACTGCATTCGAATTAAATACATATTGCAATTGATGAACGCACATCGAAAAAAGCTTCACTCATTTTTCACGCATTATATCTGCTTTTACGGTACCGTCGGTCCACGTTGGTATTGGGTCACTAACTACCGGAGTAATTTTGATGCATTAATCTGAACGACTCACTGTGCACAATGCTGTCGGGCTCCAACCACTGAATTACATCCAAATAAAACTTAACCCTGCTTCTGTAAGCCAGAGCAATGAACTAAGGAAGAATAAAATCCCATTCCATACCAGCTATAAAACTGCTTGATAACCACTGTATATTTTGTTTTCCTTCGATATTAAGACTTCGCTGCAATGAATATAGTTGGGGACTATGAATATAGTTCAAAGGACATGCTTGGCCATGGTGCTTTTGCCGTGGTCTACAAAGGACGTCATCGTAAAGTAAGTAGCTTATACATAAACTTATTGACTTTTATGACAAAATAAATAGCTTTTGACCCTCAATTTATAGTTTTGTATGTAAATACTTTTGCAGGCATAATAGTCTACAGTGTAGACTCTACACCATAACAAGTATTTAATAACCAATATACATACATACATATGTATATATGTATGTACATATTATCTTGTACATACATATGTATGTATGTATGTCCATATGTATATAACTATAAATGCGCATATGGGAGTACGTAAATCATTTACATATATGTATATTTGTATATTCTTGACAAGTTTTAATCGAGAATCTGCAATGAAGGAGCTGCCCCTTTCCACCTGCCCGTATGCTATCAGTTGGTGTGAAATATAATAAATTAAAACGCAATTGACATAAGAAAAAAGAAGCCACTAAAGCAAACTGAAATAAAAAAAATAGCAGCCCAAAATGCTACAAATGTCAATAATAAATAAATTGAGTTAAAAATATGAAACAAAACAAAATAGGCAAACGCATGGAGTACCTATGTATGTATGTATGATTCAATAATTACGCGGTGCTAAAAAAAAATGGTTGCTGGTACTTTTTATGTTATGTAGTAGAAGTGATAGAAACAGGTCCAGAAAATTTGTTGTTGAAGCAGCATGCAAGTTCTCCAAAGAGTTTTTGGGGAGTGTTGCTGGAGTGACAGTCCTTGGCCAGATATAAATCTGCGTCGTTCCGGTTACGTAGACCCTGAAGTGGGAAGTATTTTGGCTTGGCAGAATTTCAAATACACCCCCAAAATCTCAAGTTATGACCAAAAAACTGAAAATCTGGATGTTGGGTCAACGCACAAGCCAAAAATTGGACAGTTTTTAACGGATTCTCAT